AAAATATTTGTTCAAAATAATATACTCTCTTCAGGAGAGCTTGCCAAACTTACTTCGTTTTTGGGCTGGTCGCTCGCCGTGCTATAGAGGTCTTAGTTGAGGGCCGATATCTCAGCTTATACCCAACCGATATCAATAATTTTTAGTTTGCTGGAAAGTGTAAATGATGGACAGTAGACCCACAAAATATCTATACAAAATAAATTTTCACTAGTGAGCAAAGTCACCCTGAACTGCCCTAATTTGATAGCAATATGAGTCGCCCGAAAAGTACCGTCGGAGGCTGTTTTCAACTTTTCTAAATTAGAAAATAAATGGAAATCGCTAGACTTTTTAGACATGCATTTTGAAGACTAGCCACCCAAAGGTTTATTTTGGTGCAATAAAATAGAATTTCATTTTTGGGTTCTGTCTGTCGATTCTCGACCCTTACGGACATTCGCTCTTAATTCAATATTTATTTCATATTTTGTGCACGCTCTGTTTTGATGTGTTTGCATACTATTCAATTCTCCATGAAATGCCTCGCTCACGTCCAAAGCTAGTGACAGCAGCTTTTAGAGACTGCTCATGATAATTATCGAGGGAATTTTAGGAATGGTGAGAGAGGAATGGTAGGAGGTTGAAGGGGGACTGAGAAGTAGAAATAAAAAAAAGCGCGGAAAAGCGAATGACTTCCTGTGGTGATGATCATGATGTTCACAAGACGTTTACGTATATTCTACACTTGGATCCCAGAGCATATGGAATGCATAACCGAATAAAAATTTATTAGAAATATAATGGCATTTTTATAACCAATTTCTCTGCTTTCATATTCTGTGAATTCATGTTACTGAATTGTGCTTTGATATTAGATAAATACCTCAAGTTCTTTCTTTCATTTTCACTTTTTTCATCGTGGCCATAATTGTCGATTGTAAGTCAAAATTACGACTGCCAAAACAAAGATATTTTAATATTGCTAAAACAATTTGGCTTTCGACCTCTTGTTTCCGTTACTACTGAACAAGAGAAACACGGGCGCATATTATGCTATTATGAGCGATTGGGCCTCCTGTGATATGACGACAACATTGGAAGTATTATTAGTGATGCACGTCCACGTATATAGTTTATGGTAGCACGTTTAAGGTAAGTTCTTAGCTAAAACAAAAGTTTGAGCTGCAATATGTGTTACGTAACTTAACGCACGAACCAGAGAAATAATATTTGCATTTAGTCGATTAAAATTCAAACCGAATGTATCTATAGTGAACAGAACATTAATGCTCGATAAAATGTATTCAAAAGAGTATGGTCAGTAYGAATCAAAAATTGAGCCGTTTCTGTAAAGAGAGAATAAAGAGATATATGAAATTCACAATGTACTATWAATTGAGCCAAATGCAATCTTGCTACGGAGCTAAATGGTCACTTGTTAGGTCATTATAATGCACTGGTATAAATTGTAAAACATGATGGACTCATCGAAAAACAAACATTAAAAAGTGGCTATATTCTACTCGATTTACTCTGTCTAAATAACATTTTCATAACTAACTTGCTCAATAAGCTACTTTTATCTCTTATGGTTGTATTGGAGTTTGATTTATATCTGAACGTTACAGAGAAGGCGAAGTAATATTATATTCATTTTAGATTCTCGTGATTATATTATTTAAATTCATGACCTTTAGGCAACAAAAGATGTCACGCAACAGAAACCACATATTAATGAGAAGACTTGTATCGTTTTCAAACAAAAACATGCATAAAAATTRCGATATCTCAAAAATGTTCCTTTTTGAGTCAGAGTGTCAAAACAAAAAGGCTGCGAATCACAAGTATGATTAAAAAAAATCACATGATCAAGAGACTAACTGCATGAAAAACCATGCCGAAAAGACTTTTGGCACTTCTTGTGTGGTTAATCTATTTTAACTTACCTGATATTAGATTTTTTTTGAATTAAAAAAGTTTATATCATTATCAAAACAAAATATTTCTCTTTTTGAAATYTGTTCTTGTCTTGTGGAACTTGTGTAAAAATAACGTGTTCTCTTCGATGAAAAAAGGAGACACTCGTGTTATTAAATTCCTAAATATTACATATTAGCATGCAATATAATGAGAGCCATATATGGCATCCAAATATTGAAGTCGTACGTCAGACTCTACTCTCTGAGGGATTGCGCATGAGAGATTGTTGTACTGATCAACGTTTTATGCAATTGACTGTAGGTGCTAACAAAAACTTTAAAAGCGAGTAAGAACTAGGGAAGCAAACGGCAAAGGAATGCAAGAAGGTGCTAATTGTGCATTGTATAATCCATAKCTGCTATAATTTTACAAGTTAGCGCAATTTCTAATATTTTATTTGATGTTTGATGTCTGTTTTCACTTTCATGAAAGCTTTCTTTAGCTTCAATATTAAGGCAATTCTACGTGGGGAACATAGCAAATTAGAAGCATCTGTTGGCTATTGTTTTGAGTGCTTATGATTAGATAAGAGCTTTTAATACAAAAGAAACTTTGTTTCAAAATAGAGTTTATCCACATTTTATTTCAAAAATGTGTTACCTATAGGTTGATATATAATCGGTGTGAAAACCAAGACATTCGTACGCCGGAAAGTTGCAATGCCGCAGAACAATAGAGAGTTCCCTGGGGTTACTTAATAACTATATGAGGCAATACAATTGCCCTACCGCATAATTACATCACAACAAAATTTTCGATTGTTTTAACGCTAAGGAATATGGCCGCCAGAGCGATCAGAGTGCCTGCACATCAAATAAAATGTAGATTAGCAATCTTTGATATATATCAAAAATCGTTACATTGAAGTTTTACTTCAATTTAACTTTAGTTTAATAGTTCTTCACACTATGGCAAACYGCAATGGCCATTTTTTAACCCTATTGAGACTTAGCGRGGACTTTTAGTCCCGAGTAAAATGCCAATATCTTTCGAACCAAGCTACAGCACTGAAACTTTCGGACTTTTCCAAAACTTTATCTATGCAGATTTTAATATAAATTTTATRTTGATATTGTCATCCATGTTTCCATGGCAACCAGCTTTTGACAAAAAAGTAAAATATGCTTAATGTATTATTTTCAAAGCTCATTTTTTTGTTTTATTATGCATTTGTTACCTATTTGAGCTTGTTCCCATTCCTGATTCTACAATACCATAATAGTTTTTTGAAAACAAAAAAAAAATTGAGGGGAAGGGATGGGCAGTTTCAGACTTTTTATTCTGAAAACGATGTCGAACAGTGACGACGATTTGTTTTTAGCTCAAAATACGTTTGACAGCATTCCTTTGCCGAACTTTGATATTGACGTTTTGCTATCGGATTTGGAACTCCGTATGCCTCTGCCCGCAAATAACGATGACAAGCCTGTAGATAAGAAAAACATGARACTAAAATCACAACAGTTTTTTCATTTTGAACTCGCTCAAAGAAATACGAGGGAAGGATTCCAGCAGAAGGAACAAAATAAAGTCGCAGAAAAACCTAAATCCCAACGATTTCTTTTGAACATATATTCGCAATGCTGCGGTTTCTTTTGTAAGCAAATTCGATTAGTCCATATTTTACTGATTTTTTATAGATTTGCTCTCAAGAATGTTTGGAGACGTTTTCCTTGTTATGGTTGTYCTGATCATGACGTATGTCCTCTGGTCTTTCATGATTAACCGGAATGGTATGCCACCTTGTCCGCATCCGATACCTATTCTTGGAAGTCTTTTTCCAGTTGTTACATGGATAAGACAGAAAATCTTGCACATTGAATTAGTAAAGCTCGCCAAGTTGTATCGTGGTAAACTTTTCACCCTCAAGCTTCCCGGCGAAAATATTGTCGTTGTAAACTCTGCCTCTACTGCCCGAGAAGCACTTGTAACAAAGAGAGATGAATTTGCTGGAAGACCTTTTATGTTTACCTTTGACTACGTGACGCGCGGCTCAAAAGACATTGGAGCACAGGATTTAAACTCTACTTTACTTCTTCAAAGAAAAATTGTTCATTCAGCTATTCGATTGTATCAGCCCAAGCTAGGTGACAAAGTGACGAAAGAAGTGAATGAGCTAATCAAAAGATTGATTGAGTATCACGAGAAACCAATCGAGCCAGAGTCTGAAATTATCTTAACAGTGATGAATGTGATTTGCGCTATGGTATATGGAGATCGTTACGAGCTTGACGATCCAGAGTTCAAAATGGTCTTTGATTATAACCAGAAGATGTTCTCTCTTTTAGGGGCCTTAAATATTTTGAATGTCTTTCCTTTCCTAATCCACTTCCCGATCAGAGACTCAAAGCTCATTAAATTTGTWGTGGAGACACGTGATAAAATTCTTAATAAAAAGTACCATGAACATCAGCAGTCTTACAAAGAAGGTATCATTCGTGATCTGACGGACGCCTTAATCAAAGCTTTAAAAGAAGCTGAGCAAGAAGACTTAAAAACCAAGAGCCTAATCACCGAAGATCATGTTGTGATGACGATGGCTGACGCGTTTTCAGCCGGTTTTGAAACTACATCGACACAGATTCGCTGGTTTTTACTTTTCATGGTTATTCACCCAGATATACAAGCAAAGGTCCAGGAAGAGCTCGACAACGTTATTGGAAAGGGCGGTTTGGTASSATGGAAGGACAGGACAAGRCTKAATTAYACRTTTGCAACAATTGAGGAAACAATCCGTTTGTCATCGATTGGCCCGATGCTCGTWCCTCGTAAGACTACAAAGGACTCTACTTTAGAAGGCTATCAMATCCCTAAGGATACTACCATCTTTATCAACGCCATGGCTTTGCATCTTGATGAGAACGAGTGGGACGAACCTTTGGTGTTTAATCCTGAACGATTCTTAGATGAGGAAGGGCAGCTGATCCAAGTTGCTGGTTTGAAGAGCTACCTTCCCTTTGGTGCTGGTCGTCGTGGCTGTGTTGGCGAAGTTTTAGCCAAGCAAGAAATATTTTTTATTTCTGCAAGTTTACTGCAGAACTTTAATATAGAGGGGGAGATGGCAAGCTTACCATTATCACTTCATGGCGAATTGATAGGTCCTGTTCATTGTCCGAAGCCTTTCAAAGTGCGTTTCAAGCAAAGGCGATAATCTTTGCAAGCGTAAACTATTATGCTTTAAGGATATATCCATGTCATTCTTGCGTATGATTTAAATGTTGGTGATGTAAGTGACTCACTTAAAGCAAAGCAAATTCGTAATGATGCTACAAAGACAATGGGACTGTTTTCAGTGTTCTACAGATGGTAGATTTATTGCGTAGCAAGAGTTTATCGGGAGACGTGATCGAAATTTTGTTTATCAAGACAGTGTAACCATAGTCCCTTTCTGTCGTGCAATCTCCCTCCGATAATCATCGTTTGCCGTCTCCCCGACAGCATTCCTTGAAATAGCTGTATACGTAAAGACAAGTTGTGTTTATGAAAATTTTAGCTCAACGTTGGAAATATATATTATCWTTATTTCCGGACCGTGAGTGACACAAGTTTAAATATATTGCAGTATATTTAGTTTTTTATTTGCATGTGTGTTCTGAACTATACTCAGAATACATACATCATTTGCACACAATTCATTGAGAATATTGTATTATGGGTCGACACGACACCRCATTAAAATGCCTTTAAGAAGCGATGACATCATTTATACAACTAGACGCTCCTGGAGCGTGAAGTCGGACTAGCTAGACTGTTCAAAACCGTTTATTCAAAAGACACAATATTCTTTTTGACTGCTCTCTGCAACGACTTCAAAACAATAGAAATCTAAATTTGACCTAAAAGGTCATGTAATTAATACCCTGCGCAGAGTATATTTTACCTTACAACTGAACTGATAAACACTGGAAAATCTCAGTCTTTTACATACTATGTAAATATTTTGGAAACTGTATTTTACAAACAATTTTTCACGTTTACAAAAAATCTACATTGAGTACGAGGAATAATTTACAAATGATAATTTTCAAAGTCTTTTGAAATTTACATAGTATGTAAAAGTACCTTGGTCCTGTAAAATCAATTTTACAGTCTGTTTACAAACAATTTACACATGAGTTACATAGTATGTAAAAGTCTGAGGTTTTCCAGTGTAAAATCAAACGTGGTATACTAAATGTCGCTAAGTTATATCATAATATCTAATACGTTTTTAATTCAAATTCTTGACCTCTCAGGCCAAGAAAATAACTATCAAAAAAAATAAAAGATGCCTGTAAAATAATGAAAGTCGTCTTTTTGTTATTGATAAGCAAAGTTTCTTCTTGTTCTAATTTGAAATCTTTGCCCAAGCAAGACTGTCTAACGCTAGAATTTAGCTACATAAGCATAATACTCGAAGCTCCATGCGATCCGCACATGCGCGTACTTCTGATGCCTAGACTGATGCATTCCGATGAGATCACAGATACCACATTTGTAAACGAATAGTTTTTTTATCACATAAAACCGCAAGTAGCATCTTAAATTTACTAACGATATTCTTACATCTATAATACGTTTGAGATTCGGTAATTAGATAATACAGCCAACCCAATAGTTAATTATTAAATTCTTAACTTCCGGCGGTTCAAACGCGACATGATACATAGATACTAGATAGATTGGCTAAAAGGTAAAACTCAACTCGATCTCAAGTCCAACTTATGAAAACTGAAAATCTTGCTGGAGATGCAATAAATCAATATATTTCTGTTATATGAGATATATCCATTAAATTTAATCTTATGCTTTGAACTTCTTCGTACTAAAAAGCCGGCATAACCGATTAAAAGTATAAATAGAAAACGTAGCACGGCTAAAGATTCACTAGTACTATAGGCAGCTGTTATACGTGCAATTAATTCCAAAGTCAATGGGATTAATGGTCTTGCTAGCATACGCTTGGCTCTATGTACCTTTTACAAGTGGATGGTCTGTAGGACATGTCTGTTTACAAGCTAATCTGTGAGCCCAAGCTTCACTTCACTTCTGCCACTTTGACTGGTATTTATTTACTGTTGAAGTGGCTTTGGAATTGAACTGTAAACTCACAAGATTCGGTACAAGTTATACTATCGAAGAATCTTTAATCAGGTRAACTTACCAGGCGCTGGAAAATTAAATTTTCCGTCGCCCCTATAATAATGCGCAGAAAACAAATATCAGCTATACTGCGTACCACAAATGTTTTTTTTATATTGTTTCTCTTTATATATATATTTTTTTCATTTTTATTAATATTTTGTGCGGTTTGTCTTCATTGAATCCAGCGTCATCTCTTATTTCTATTTTATTTATTTAACTAAGAACAATTTCCTTGGAATGAAATATGCTTACCGAGATGYCTATTTTTGTCTTACAATCTGGAAAGTGTTGAACTGAATAATCCCTCTAAGCCCTTTGCATTAGAACTATAATGATCGTCAGGTACTGTTTACTAAGACCTTCAAAAGATATAGTTACATTTCCATCGTTAAACACCCCCATAAAATATTGAGACCTGGGGTGTTATTGGAGCCACTAGACCMCACAACTTTGGAAATCTACGAACAGTGATTTCCTTGTCAGTTGCCRTACAATTTCGCCATGAAAACTCTGATGCTCGTTGTTTTTGTWTTTTGATAAAACAGCTTTCAATGTTTTTGTTCCCTGTGTGTCTGGCGTTTCTTTATTGAAGAAACTATAACTATTTTCGAYAACAAATTATAGTTTTTCAGTTGAGAAGTACAATTTTATTCCCCTGAAAAGGTATAAAAGCTGAAAAATCTTATTTCCTCCTATCGAAAGCTAGAGGGACGGGTAAAACCATGGTGCAACCAGTACTGCGGCCTTTTTTTGACCAGAGAGGCGTCAATTTTCAAGGGTTGTACATTGTATTTTTCAAAGAATAGAATAAGCAACCTGTGAACTTACCTATTCATAAATTCTCTATTTAATTGAATACGCGTTCCTGAACAACCGGTAAACAAAAGAAAACAACTGGAYCTCAATGAATTAGATCATTTTGTACTSTGAAACGTCAGCATACGGTACATTTAATGAGCTAAGAAACATCTCTTTGGTGTTTTAATTCCTTTTCGCGAGGGTATACAGTTTTTTTTAATTCCACAGAAATTTCTATTTAGATCCAGAACGWYCTATTGCATTGCTGAATATATTTTTGAAAATATCTCGCAATGCACCTAATAGCGAACATTTTTTTCGTTATTGCGGTATTTATATTTCGTAAGTGTGACTCTCACCGTTTTACCCCTTGTGAAGCAAGCTATCTCGCTAATTGCAACGAGAAATTTATCAAAACGTGGAAAGATGCTCGAAAGGGGGAAGATGTATTAAGCGTGTATTGCGAAGCCTTCAAGGTGAGTTTATAAAGCCTGTTAATCACAAAGGTGTGACACTGCACATCTTTATTTACATAGTTCTTATACCTAAGGGTTTATTACAATCTAAACGAAAGTTAATTTCCATACTTAATATACCTACGCCTTAAGTTCTTGAAACATATTAATAGATCAAATATTTTGTCACATATTTCTTTATAATTTGGTTTGAACGACATGTTTTTGATTCATCRGTGTTGTAATTTTCCAAGCGGTTGTGTGTTTATAAGCTCATTTTGGACTTTCAACTATAGTTAGTTGACAGCATGGGATCGTCCATCCAGTCCTATTTGTCTGCCATCCGTGTGTCGAATTGTATTTGCAAGTTATTTATTCCACACAGACCACGTATTATATCTCCCTTGACTTCTATTTCGTTTCCTTGCAGTTCTTAGTTGTTATTGTTTCCTCAGGTGTATTTTCTCTTTGCACCACTTTCATTATTTCGATCTCCCTTAATGTTATAGTCTCCTCATTTTTTTCTCGGCTTCCATATTCTTCATTTCAATTTTTTGCTCACTTTTCGCTTATTTCTTTCATCTAAATCATGATAAATCTCTTCTATTTGAATAAACTTCATTTTCTGTTATAAGTATATTTGATTTCAACATTCTCATAAAAATGTACTTTTAATTTAATATTAATGTTTCATGAAAATTTTTTAATCGGTAGGTCTTTGGCAGGTGCTTAAGTGAAGATTCWCAGTTGTGCAGTGGAAAAGTCCTTGATCTTTTAAGAGAGGGGTTCAAAGAGCATCTGATTTTCAACATGCGAACAAATGTTTGCCCTTATGATGTGGCTATCTCGAACCTCAAGGAGCTAGTGAAAGGTAAACTATACTAAACATCTTCTGCGATAACTATCAGCGCTCTGCCCAGGAGGAAGCCCACGAGGGCCATCAGCGTAGATAACCTTTAAGTCATATAGCATCAAACATTATTTCGTAGCGTCAAACATTATTTTGTGGCGTCAAACTTTATTTATTAGCGGCAAACTTTATTTATTAGCGGCAAACTTTATTTGGTAGCTGCAAACTTTATTTGGTAGCGATAAACTTTATTTGGTAGCGGCAAACTTTATTTGGTAGCGGCAAACTTTATTTGGTCGCGGCAAACTTTATTTGGTAGCGGCAAACTTTATTTGGTAGCGGCAAACTTTATTTGGTCGCGGCAAACTTTATTTGGTCGCGGCAAACTTTAGTTCGTAGCTTCAAACTTGATTAGTAGCGGCAAACTTTATTTAGTAGCGTCAAACTTTATTTGGTAGCGGCAAACTTTATTTAGGAGCGGTAAAACTTTATTTGGTAGCGGCAAACTTTATTTGGTAGCGGTAAACTTTAGTTCGTAGCGTCAAACTTTATTCGTAGCGGCAAACTTTACTTAGTGGCGGCAATCTTTGTTTAGTAGCGGCAAACTTTATTTCTTAGCCGCATCCGGCTATCACAGCTGTGAATATATATATAATACAAGAGCATATGATTTTCAAAAATGCACTTATGACAGCTGGGGATACACTGGACCTGGACAGTGGACTGGCTTCTTTAGCCGAGCAAGTGGGCTGACTCACAAATTTTCCCTCATCAGGAACTTAAGTGCAGCAAATACAAAAGGAAAAAAGGCTTGGCTTTATCCTTACTCTAATTGGTCATGTTTTTGTGTTCTTTCACAGTCTCATAATATGCTTTCAAAAATTCATACAATAAATGAGTTATTAGGCCAATAGAATGAGCCTATTTGGTCACATGCATGGGCCTTTATATCGGATAAAACACTCCTTATTAGTATTCTTTATATAAGAATACTAATAAGTGTGACCTTTATCAGATATAAAGGTCCATGACCCTAGCAAAGGTCTCAGGTTTGAAACCTGATCATTGACCAATGCAGGATGTCAACCGATTCCAGTGAACAGCCAAGAGCGCTTCTATTTTAGTTTATGCGTATTCAATGTGGGATGACAAGAGTGCTTTGTAAAGTGATTCGCACATGATCAGTTAGCCCTATTTATCTCAGAACATATTTGTACGTCAATTTCTCCAAGAATTTTAACGGATTTGAGTTTCAAATTAGTGTTGGAGTTTTTGAAGCCGATGGATCAGGAGTTAACTGGCGCAAAAATCAAAGTGAACCAGGGATCAAAGGGCAGGACTCAGAGATCAAAGAGCCGGGATCAAGGCTAAAATTGAGGGATTTTATTTCCAAAACGGGCTTTTCGATCAAAAGTAAGATAAACAAAATTGAGTTTTCAGTGGATCACCGAAATTTTGGAACATAACATGTGAACATGTCTGAAATAGAGCGGATTTCGTATGAGTGGGAAACGGACGGTACTGTACTGTGACCGTAATCGTACTGTAACCAAATTCTAGTGCCCCATTGGTTCACCAAAATTGTGCAGGCCAGGTCCGGTAACTGTGCGGTAACCGTGCGGTAACGGTGTCCCACTCATACGAAATCCGCTCTATAGCATGCTACGAGCCTAACTTTCAGTGTTTGGTATATCCTATGTAAAATATCATCTATAAAAAAAAACATTTTCAATGTTTCTGGCCAAATCAAGAACATATTAGAGCTGAAGCATCCCTGGTGCGCAACCCGGGTCACGTAGCTCAAGAGATTGGTCAATCCTGCATGTATTCTATGAAATATGCTCAATTCAGTTCCATCATAGTCGAACTTAATAAAGCAACTATGTGTTGTTTATAGAACGAGAGTGCGTGTTTTATCGTGATTTCTAAAATATTTAGGATACTACGCGCGCTGTGATTGGTCGAAAACCATGTTTGATTACAGTTTCTAAAATATTTAGGATACTACGCGCGCTGTGATTGGTCGAAAACCATGTTTGATTACAGTATCAAAACACGCTCGCACGCGTCAAAAATTTCTTTTTTCCCGCCGTTYKCATTTGTTGTTGTTATCATTCATTTTCAAGAACAATGAAYGAAGAAATGCCTATTTATGATGTCCTCTGGGATGATATCCCAGARGAAGAGCTATCAACGTTTTAGAAGCTACAGAAGCTGCAGAAGCTACTTCGAGATTTGCAGAGATAGACGACAGCCACATATCGTATTTCAGAATTCTTTACAATTTTCGTATTCTTTTAATTTTAGAAAAGAAATAAAAGACGAAATTTCGTGTTTGATACTCTGATCAAAGCACTTGGGATGTAGGGAGAACACTCGAAAAGCTGGAAAGGACTCTGCTACGCGTCGTGGTTTCCTACGCTTCTCTCGTGCTCTCCCTACATCCCGCGTGTTTTGATCAGAGTATCAAACACGGAATTTCGTCTTTTTTTTCTTAAATATAGATTCGAGTCGCAGGCGAGAATCTATATACCCGATAAAACACGCACTCGAGTTCTATAAACGACTTCTAGAACTCCAACATTCAGAAATTGTTATCATTTTAGAAAAAAGCTAAAAAAACGAAAACATTGGTAATGCATATTGAACTTCTAATGAGCATGCAATTGAAAGAATTTTGATGAGCCCACACGAAAGAGCGGCTAGTCTAGCTATAATGCATGTCGGCACATTGATTCAAACTGATTTAAAACCTAGCAAAGGTCTATGATGCGACATTAAAACTGAGATCTTTGCTAGTGTCGGGTTGCTATAAAGTTTGCTACTAGGAAATAGAGTTTGACGCTACTGAATAAAGTTTGCTACTAAGAAATAGAGTTTGACGCTACGGAATAAAGTTTGCTACTAAGAAATAGAGTTTGACGCTACGGAATAAAGTTTGCTACTAAGAAATAGAGTTTGACGCTACGGAATAAAGTTTGCTACTAAGAAATAGAGTTTGACGCTAAGAAATAAATTTGGACGCTACGGAATAAAGTTTGCTACTAAGAAATAGAGTTTGACGCACGCTAAGAAATAAAGTTGGACGCTACTGAATAAAGTTTGCTACTAAGAAATAGAGTTTGACGCTAATAAATAAAGTTGGACGCTACGGAATAAAGTTTTTAACTCTATAACTACGCATCTAATGCTAAAAATGTAGTTTATAGAGGATGTGAAAGGAAATTATCTCAAACAAACAAAAAAATGGTAGTACGATTGACAATAAGTTTCATTTCAATAGCCGACTTGCGAATTACGCATCAATAGTCACATACAAAGGAATCAAGACGAGGCGCCGTGCTAAAGACAATAGATTTTTCACAAAAAAGCACGGCGCCTCGTCTTGATTCCTTTGTATGTGACTATTGATGCGTAATTCGCAAGTCGGCTATT